AATATGTTTCATTATTTTTGTCTCTAAATCTTTGCTATATATTAGTAAAAGAGAATCGTACCCAGAAAGTATAAATGGCAAAATTATACATCAATAAGCACATACCTTAAAAAATATAAAAGGCCTATTTGTCTTCGCAAGATTTTATGAAATAAAAAGGCAGATTTTGAAACATTCTACTAGTGATAAAAATCTAGAAATATAAAAAGGATACAGCATCCATAGCTATGAGATGAAACCTTCTATTTCTTGCTTCTTCCCTGTTAAAACAAATTTCATTTTAAGCAAATTAAAATGTCTATATTCTAATTAATATAATCAAATCCCCTAGTCCCTTAATTTATAAAATGTCTTAAACCAAAGAACATAATTTACATTGAAATACAATACCTATCCAGCAATTCTGCTGCAACTTGTTTATGGGCCACCTTTCCATGTTTTTCTTTCTGAAATGGCTTTTTGAGCAGTAAATCATCTTCAACTGTCCTGGTGTATTAAGAAAAAAAACTTATTAAAAGTTACTTTTTCTCCAAGGTTGTTTCCTAATTCCTTATATTTTCATAATTGCAACATGTTTTAAAGAATTCAAGTCTTAACTCAAAAAAGAGTCACTGATCTTAAATGAGACATTTGACATCTCCTTAGATAGCTTAATTAACAACTTTATTTAATACCTATAAAATGGAGAAGATGAAACTAATAATAGCATGAGTTCTACTGTCAGACTATCTAGGTTCTTGGTTCAAATTCTGACTCTGCCATTTACTACCTTAATCTTAATAAGATTAAGTTACTTAATCTCTTCATGTCTCGATTTCCCTGTTTATAGAATGTGGATAAGAAAGCTTTTGGTAATTAATAATATGGAAAAAGAAAGGCAGATTATAGAGGATATAGACCTTAGCTGATCGGCCCTAGTTATGTAGATGAATATAATCCTAGAGCAGAATATCCAACTAGATTTGCTTATATTCTATTCTCACAAAGTAATATTTTTGATTGAAAAAATCTAGAAAATGTAAAGTACCATAAAAAGTAATGTGTTATAATTATTACTATTCTTTTGGTTATCGGTGAAGACTAAGTATCTTGTAAGTGTTCAATCCCAGTTAGTATGCCTATGTATGCTGTCAATGTAAAATAATAAACCAATTTCTGTAAGTTTGGTTAGTATGAATCAGTCAATCACTCCTCAGTTAATGGATAAAACTGAGTTTCTAAGCACTGAAAGCTGAGAATAAGCACAGTAATTCTGTCAAAATGTAGCCTCTTTATAACACTCGGGCTTTATGTACTGACAGTTCTTGTGTCCCTTCCAAATCAGTAAAACCTACCGTGAGCTTCTTCCCTTGACCACTTAATCTGCTCATTCATAAGAACTGCGATGCATTACAATTTCATCCCCCACATTTATCTCACTCTGAAGGCCAGTACTAGAAAGAGACTACAAACCAGGACCCTTCCGAGCTATAACATTTGCAAGTAAACAGCCCTTGATAGTTGAATGAAAAACACATGCAAAAGAGAAATATGAAACCTTCAGAATCTTTCTTTTTCTCCTTCCCTTTCAATAAACCTTTCCACAGCATAAATATTCTTATTTTTCCCACAATTGTTCCCCAACTTTGAATCAATTTATTTCAGTTTAATGAAAATTCATCCACTAGAGAGCAGTTGTCTTCACATGCAAACACAACCCCCAAACTTTCAATATTATTTATTTATACCTCTTATCATTCTAGAAAGGATGTGAAACATAGATTAATTAAAAATTACTTACCTTTTTCTCCTTTTGCTAGATTCTCCACAGTGTTCATCATCGCTAAAATCAGAGTCATAGCCCCCATGACCATGCATCTGTTAAGGAGTATGAAGCCAGCCATTTAGAACCTAGTTGCCAATTGTTGTAGGAAACAGTACAGTTTAATAAGTTATCTTAAACAGCCACAATAGTTTTAAAGGGCCATGGTGGGCAGATCACCGTTTGTGGGATATCCAGCCATCTAAAACTTGCATTCACTTTGAAATAATAGACTTACTCTTCAGAATATGCATCAACATTTTTCACCTATAATTATCATTAGGTGAACAAGGGAGGCTACTCTTTCACCTTTTCATTGAAAACCAGGCCTAGAAGCTGCAAAGAAATTGCATACAAAGTTCAGCAATGCTTCACTTTTACTTGACTCATAGTAGTAACAGTTACTGTGTATTTATCACCAGCTTTGTTCCAGACATGCCAAATACTTTACAAACAAAGCTTCTAATACTGCAAGTCAGGAACTGTTATCTCCATTTCAGGGATGAAAAAAAAGGACAAATTAATATCAATTTCACAAAGCAAATAAGTAGCTAAACTGATCTACTTGATTCTTAAGCCCAATTTCAACTACTCCAAATTGCCTTTCTGGAATATGATTAACTATATTCCATCAGAATAACAGTATTTGTAAACAGTACTGTATCAATCGAAAATTTTCCTATTACCTTTTTCAACATATGTAGACTTCCATTTTATTTTGGGTTTCTTCAAGGTAAACTACCTTGGCCTTTGGCTTAGTCAGCTTTATCTTGTTTCAATTCATTTTTGAATTGAAATTCTTAAAAACACTGGAAGACTTCGATTGTCATTCACTTGTGTTAGAAGCTTCTGGTTCCAGCATTACACTGAATTTGGGACACACATTAATGGTAGATGGATGGCTTACAGTCATGAGCCACATGTTTCAGTCAATGTTGGACCACATATACAACAGTGGTTCCATAATACTATAATGAAGTTCAAAAATTCCTATGGCCTAGCGATGTTGTAGCAATCTTAATGTCATAGTGCCACGCATTACTCATGTAGGAACAATAGGTTATACCATCTAGCCTGGGTAAGTAAAGTGCACCCTACAATGTTCGCACAAGAATGAAAGTGCCTAACAACTCATTTCTCCGAGGATATCCCTGTTGTTTTTTTTTTGGCAGATGGACAGTACAGGGATTTGACCCTGGACCTTGGTGTCATCAGCACCACACCCTAACCAACTGGGCTAACTGGCCAGCCCTGTCCTTGTTGTTAAGCAACACATGACTGTATTTGACTACTTGATGTCATAAATACCCAATTCACATGGCTGGAAGGAACCAGCCCAGGTCAAATGATATATCAAATTCTCTAAACTTTAATATTCATTACAGCAACTATAGCGGGAAAAAGAGGAAAGAACACTTTAAATTTTATTGCATTAGACTTCATACAGAAAACATGTTTCTAGTCCTGACCACCTTGAATAAGTCACTTCTTGGGCTTCATCTGTTAAATAAGGTGGTTACACAAAATAAGCTTTAAATTCTGAATCTGTGATCTTTCTATAATTTCATTTTCAAACTTAGGTATGTGGGTGTATGCCTCTCTTCTCTGCCACACCAACTCTATAGACAGAAAGACCCCAGCCAAGATTAGAGATGAAGATTAGAAGACGACAGTTCCAAACCTCCCCTTGCCTTACATCTGTCCCCGCCTTACACACTTGGATTTCACATCCTTTATCAGGTCAATTCCTTGCTCCAGCTGTTTTATCACATTTGTTCGAGTCATACCAGCCTCTCACTCATTGTCCTCTGTCCTCACTTTCTTCACATCTTTTTTGGGGGGTGGGGCGGGGGCCTGGCCGGTACAAGTACACGAACCCTTGACCTCAGAGTTACCAGCACCAGGCTCTCCCAAGTGAGCTAACCGGCCAGCCCCGGCCCGCGTTTTCACATCTTGATGGGAGACAACCACAGTGTGTAGCTTAGAGACCAGCCTACGAGAAGGCAAAGCCAGGCTCTGCACTTTACAGTTCTCTTTCTTGGGGCATGTTCCTTAACCTCTCTGAGCCTGCTTCCCCATTTATAAAATGAGACTAATAAGAGTACCGATCTCATAGGGCTCGAGATAAAATGAGTTATCACATCTAACGGATGTTAGTACAGTAAAACCGTGTAAATGTTAACTAACATCATCATCGCCTTGTTCCCTCACCCCGGGACACCACTTGCTCCCACTCTCCCATTTCTTCCTTCTCTGGCGGCTTCATCCATCCCATACCCATCCTAACTCCGTGGTTGCATTAAATAGCTCTCACTCACTTCAGGCTACGAATCAACTGACAAGGGCCGAAAGAAATCGAGAACGGAGATGCCAGCTGTCTCCAGAGTCTGTCGTCCAAAAAAACAAAACAAAAAAATTATAATCAGCTAGTAGTACATGAGGAACAAGTTTCAAGGTCCTTCTCCCCGACGTATACCCACGGCCCTTCTCATACACCCGTTCCCCTCCTCCCTGCTCTGCCAAGTTCGTCCCGAGTCCTTTCCCAGCAGCTGCAGCGACGACCCACAGCCTGAGCGAGCCGCTGCAGGCCCGACACCGTCTGCCCAGGCCGCTCGGCACCGCCACAGCCACAGCCACCACCGCAAAGCCAGCTCCACGCCTCTCCCTACGGGTCCCGACTAGGTGCCGCTTCCGGTCTGGTTCGACCGCGTGTCACACCTAAATGGCACCGTCCCCGGGCGCGCCGACCTTGTGCTACAACCAAAACAGCTCCGGGAAACAAGGGCGGCGGGAGGAAAGGCCCGGAAGGGGAGGCAGAAGCTTCCTGCTTTCGCAAAGTCGCATCCCCCAGATTTTTCCTGGGCCTCCTTCCTTTTCCCTCTAGGGAATCCAGCATCTAAGACCGTGTGGCACTGCCCGCAGCTCAGCCCACGTCCCTCATTTGAAAATATATTTTGTTTCAGAGGAAGCCCTGCCTGCCTATCGCCTGCCGTCCTCTCTCGAGTAACCTTAGTAACGCCCCTCAGAGCATCCTCGCCGCCGAGCTTCAGATCAGCCTGTCCTCCCCCAGCCCCCTCCTCTCCCTGTAAAACAGTTCTCATAATTAGAACAAAAATAATTTTCCATCGTTTCACCACCCACACAATAGATACCGTTCCAAATGCAGTACTGGCGGCACAGAAGATCATCTAATTTGTGAGGAAAGAAAGAATAGGGAGTAGGAGACATCTCACAGGGTCATGGATTCTCTGCCTACGAGCCACCAGGCACGTGTGAAAAGAGATCCAAAATAGAATGGGGGGGGGGGAAGAGGCAGGAAAAGTTAAATTATTTTAAGCTCCACCAGGTTCTCCCTGTATTTTTCCTTTTCTACATTATGACGCCCCAGTCTACTTCCAGTCTAGTTACTGGGTTCATGTCTTGTCTCCCTTCGGCATTTCTGCGTCCTTCTAGTACCCAACAGAGCACCCTGGAAATCACAAGTGCTAATTAAATATATGTCGAATTGAACTGGCACGTCTCTGGCTTTTACAGCGGACACTTTTTAGAGAAAACTTGGGCACTTAATGCTCATTCGTTTTACATATTTTGCCCTAAACAGATAAATCAATATCCTTATCCGTTCAAGGTCCCTTCTATCCTGGACAGTAAATTATAAATACATCCTGCTTTACCCAATGCAGTGAATGTGATCTTGGAAAGCCGTAAGTTAAATTATTGCAAATGCAATTATTTCAAAATGCAATCAGACTACACTTCAATAAAAAATGTTTACACAAAAACTTTAAAGCAGTAGAATTATTTTGTCAAGCAGTTCCTTTCTTGGTAAATATCTTTAAAAATATTGTTTTATTTATTATTAACAAAAACCAAACACACCTATATCTTGTATTTAATTTCCTTTCTACCAATATTTGACATTTATTAGCGTTTTTCTGCCATTCCTAGTATCTTCGTGTCTAGTGCTTCATTTCACTCTTCCAACCACTCTGCGCTGCTCTGTCATTAGCCCCCATTTACACAGGAGAGAGAGGGACAGAACCTAAAGCCACAAACCTGCCGAGGCTCTAGAATTGGGCCTGTCAGGTCGCCGAGGAAGGACACGCTAGCCACGTAAAGGAAGAAAAGAAGAGTTTATTAGCAAGCAGCAAGCGGACCTGCTGGGCTGAGCCGAAAAATGGCGTCAGCGCCCAGAGGCAGTTAGGGGTCTTCTTTATAGGGTTAAGATTGGCATCTGGCCTAGCCTAGGAAGATGGTCACAGTGTTCCATTTCAGGTACAGCTTGCTCATGGGAACAGAGACTCGGGGAGACAGAAACCTTGGGCTAGCTGGGGGAGCAGTTGCAATGTTACACTCTGGGTAGAGCCTGCTCAGCCTGCTCCTGGGAGCAGAGACGTAGGGAAGCAGAGACCTTGAAGAACGAAATTTAGAGAAACAAAATGAAGGGTGGGGGCTTTCTAAAAGTCAGTTCTCAGTTCCAGGGACCTAACAGAGCAGTACTTGTCTCTACCAGACCCAGTTTCTCAATCTCTCTCTCCCTCCTCCCCCCTACCCATGGATTGTGTGGGAAGAGTAGCTTCTAGTTCCAGCATTTCTAAGAATTTTAGATCTGTTGCTACCAGTTCATTCAGGCAAAGATTTCCATTTTTCACTTTGAGGCAGCAGTTTTTGAAAGGGGGTAAATAGAAAATATATGTTAAGATAGATCACATGATCTAATCTAAAAATAATACAGGATAGAAAACCTACCTGATCAGGAAATTTCAAGTTAGCAAGTATAACTCAACAATAAAAAACCGCATATTTATTAAGTGCCTGCTCTGGGCAGGGCACGGTCCTAGTCTTCAGAGTTACAGGTACTTCAAAAAGCTTGTGGAAAAATGGAATTAAAAGATAGTACAGATATTTCCATGAACTTTTTGAAGACTCCCTCATAAAAGCCACTTACTCATTACTTCTGAAGGTTGACTACTAAGGAAGACGAGATATATAGAATAACAACAATATATTCTGTCATATACCAAGTGCCTAGTAAGTGGCATGAACCTGTGGTTCCCAATCTGTGAAATGTGTTATTTCAATAAATATGAAAACATAAATGTGTACAAATGCTATGTAACTCAAATAAAGCAACGAAATACCATGGCAGGTATGCAGTGGAGATGAGGGAAGTTGGGTGATGGTGGTGGTGATAATATCAAGCAATATTTCTAATACAAACTACAAATGTGTATTCTGCTAATACTTCATATCTTCAAGCAGATTTTATTTTCTAAAAATGGCCACACCAATATATCCCATTTAACATGCTCTTCTTATGATATGACACTGACACTCATCCATGGTAAACTGATACCTGTGATCCTAGCCTTAAATCTAGGCATGTCAGTGACTATAGTAGAAGTAATGCTAAAGCCTTCTGAGACTAAGTTGAAAAAGGTGATAGATTTTTTGCCTGGCTCTCTCCTTCCCCAGTTGACATGGAGAACAGCAGAGATGAGTGTCTCTACTGAGCCCCACCCAGATTGCAGATTCGTGAGCCAAATACATGTTGTTTTCTCAAGCCACTAAGTTTAGGGGTGGATTATTATATACCAATAGATAACCAGAACTGCCTGCTAGCTCACTTGACCCCCCCAAACATCTGATGAGACCTCAACCATGCTTGGCTTTTTTTGTTTCCTCAACATGCATGCCTCTTCAGATTTACCATTCCCTCCACCTGGAATAATATTCCCCTC